ATTTAAGAAATAGTAGAGATGGGACAGATCTGACCTAATATTGGAATCCGGTGATCCACGTCACGGATCAAGTCTGACCTTTCAAACAGAGAGGGAGCTCCAAACATTCTCATTCTGAAGACATCCAGACTGAACTGTAAGAAGTGCCCACAAATCGTCTCCATGACGACGTTCAAACGAGGTGGAACAGCTCCTTAGATATGATCTAAAGTACAATTCTTACACTTCAGTTTAAAATATTTAGATTGAAAAACCTGACAGCCACTGCTGCTTCCTGTTTGTATGTGAAGCCAGCACAATGCAACGCAATGCTTTGTGTAGCCTCACACATAATACCAACAACAACAATAACACTATTAATTATGATAATAAAAATATCAGTATCAGTTTCTGTATCGGTACATATCGTATGTATCGGAATCAGATCAGAACTGAACTGAAAGAAAATGGATCGGTGCATCTGTAAGTAATAGAGTACATTATAATGTGGTAGTGTGCATGAATACATTTTTCAAATGTGAGGCCATAAAGTAAGATTCATAATTAAACAACCTGACAACGTCATATCTTACTTTCAATAAGCAGTAATTAGGGTGTGATTCAAGGTAAGCTTATTGCTTCATTAGTTATATATTATAAACAAGTCATTTATAAAGAATAATATAGAGCCAATATACATCTAATTACCCTGCTGAACTATCAGATAATAGAAAAGGGTTATCTCGATATTATTCTAAGAATGGCTCTTGTTTGGGAGCCGTCTTATAATGAGTGAGATTTCTAATATCATGATATGGATTACAGTTGAAGATTTCTGCTCACATAATATCCTAAACTTGTTAAGATGAACTCATTATTCTAAGACTTTCTATTTTTGACTTTGAGAGGAACTTTGGAGATTCAGATAAGGACTTAAGAGTTTTTGAGCAGGATAATAAAAGTAAAATTATATGAAAATGACAAAGACCATAAAACTGAGTATTTATTTGTAATTTGTTCTATATGGCTTCTCAGTGTTGCCCTCCTTTAAGCCTTTTCAACCTTGGACTTATTTAAAGTAATAACACATAGAGCCAAAGACTATTGTATCCATTGAATACAACTGGTACAATTAATCGTGTTGTTGAGCTTGACTCAACATGACCTGCTTTGTAACTCATGACAAGTGTGAGGCTGAATGTCTATTTATTTATTTTTTATTGTTGTTTAAATACAAATTTTAAATCAAGGCTTATTTTTTTTGTTTAAATTGTTTATGCTATTTTTATCCAAAGTTCAACAGACTGCCCCACTTCCCCCACACATCTCCATCCATTCCTGTCATACCTGTGGGTTTTAAGTCACCTGGGCAGACTGGTTTACGATCCATTGCACCCCAGACGGACTGTTGACGGGTTGCGAGTATGAAAGAGATACAGTATGAGTAATGACATGCCTGCCCTACTTTGATTGGGAGAACTAGTTGTGTTGCAACCCTTTAACTACAGTTTAAGTAGAGGCCGTGTCACACTGGTGGGACTTTCTTTCACGCTTTCCTTTCACGTTTACGAGCCTGAGCTGTGCAAGACCACACATGTTACTGCTGATCTCATGCAATCCTGGAAGTGGTCCCAAAATACGCACAAACAGAAATCAGACACAAATGTTTGCGTCTCTTCTGCCGAATCTCTAAATATTTGAACAAGGTCTGGTTTGTGAAAGACACATGATCTCACCTCTAATCTTGTCCGAGATTGCTGCTCATCACAAGTCATGGATGGCGGCCGTCTGCACATTTCTGTAATATGCCTCATGGGAGCTGATGGGTTGACTGTCCTCCTCAGGCAGAAACTCTCTGACACTGACCTTTGACCTCTCACTGACTCAGATGTGTGCCGTTTGGGTCGCCGCCTCAGCACCTCATCCACTTTAGGGATCTCAGAGTCTTCCTTAAGACATTTAGAGTCAGCCCTCCTTAATGTTCGCTCCAATTTTTGGTGTAAGGCGTTGGACTCTTCCTGATCCCTGCTGGGGTGGAGGCTAAGGGAGGAAGAGGAGGAAGATGAGAGCACAGGAGAGGAGAGGACAGGAGACTGAGATAATGTGGCATCTATTTCTGCGTTATCTGTAGAAACGGAGCGAGATGTAGCGGGAAAAGACGTCTCAGAGCTGGCTGTCTCCACTCCAGAGTCCACTGATTCTGAGCGCAGGTTTGAGGAAGGTGTGGGAGAGTCTTCATTCATTCTGGGCCATTCTGAGTCCAAACCCTGTCCTCCTTCAGTCACCCAGGCCTCCATGAGGTTCCCAAAACTCCTGTACAGATTCATCCTTGAACCTTGGCTTCAACGGGAAAATGAGCAGCAGTTTAGACGTCCCTCACAGTCATTAGCTGAGGTAAACTGACTGCATAGAATTCAAAACATCTCTCTGATCCGCCTCTGCTCCTTCACCACGCCTCTGAGCAGCATCTGTCCTGTCACAGCACAGAGCTGCGTGTTGACACCCGCTTCTTCCTGTCATTATATACTGGGAAAAGTGTGACTCATCTGCAGAGTAAGGTGAAATGCTGGATTTTTTTCTCACGCCTGTAAGAGATGTTTTACGCAAAAAGGTCAAGCATAGATCTATAGGAAGTAAAAAAAAGTACCAACAACATTCAGTTATAGGGTGTTTAACAGAAACAAATGTGCTGTGAAGAGTATAAACAAAGGAATGCTGAAAGGTAAAATCACATCACTCAGCGTGCTGGGGTCGTTTATGCATATGTACTGGGAATGCCCCGATGTGGTCACATTCTGGAAGCAAATAACTTCAACTCTAAGTGACATGCTTAAAGCGAAGATCCCGCTTTCACTGACTTTGCTCCTTCTTCATGATGATTCCGGTTTAAACTTGTCTAAATGTTGGCATTAAGACGGCAACTGCCACATTCCTTGACCTGGCGACATTGGGCCAACTCTCTTCTTGAAATTGTTCAGATTGAATGATCTGTGGCCCGAATGCATGGGGCCAGCCTTAAGACCCTCAAAGCATGGGATGCAGCCTACAATATAGTTAAGGACAGCGTGCTTGACCTGAAATGTGTTTTTATTATATATGAAATATGTTTTCCTTGAGAGATCCGGGGTGGGGATGTATGTGGGGTCACCACGGGGTGGATGGGGTGGGGGGAAGGTTTGAATGTTTGATTGATCCTGATGTTTTCACATATGCACTTTTATACATGTATGTGCTCTAGGGGGGGGGGGGTAAAGGGGAAAAACAGTTGTAATATAAGATGTAATTTCTTTGTACATTTCTAAATAAAACATTGATCACAAAAAAAGATAAAGTAACAAGTCTCAGAGCTGCCATAAAAGAGTTGAGCGTGAGTATATCATAAGGGTAACATGATGTTGAAATTCCTTTGAGGATACACAAGAGAACCGTCTGTGTACGTGTGAAAAGAGGAAGTGTAATGAGAAGCTGAAACATTAAACGCTGTCACTTCAACAAACCAACATTCATCTGTGAGTGGAGGAATGTGAAGAATGGGCACTCATGTCCCGTCTGCTGATTTGATCTACATTCCCCAGGTGAACACTGACAGAATGGGTCATCTGATTAAGACGCAGACGCTCGCTCACAGTCCTGGAAAACAAAATAACAGAAGTATTTTTTGAGTCAGTCTGCACACAGTGACGTCTGTTGTTGTCCTGTTTCTCTTTCTCTCCATGTTGTTCCATTACTGGAAAGAAAACCAACATTATAGAAACTGCAAGTTTAGTTTTTTCTATACTGAGGAGGCAAAACTATGCACATATACATTACTAAAGTGCACTCTTTTGTTGTACTGGACTGTGTTTATGTGGACTGTGGTTTACTGAAGATAGTGGAAAATGTCAATCATCCTTATAGATATACTTTGGGCTTTTAATGACTTTATTGAGAGACGCTCTGTCTTGCGGGAGCTGATGGGATCGAAATCAGGGAGCGAGTGGGGAAAGACATATCCGATTGAACCTGGGCTGCTCCCTTTAAGTTACTGTGGCCTTTGTACATGAGGACATGCAAACTGACCACTAGACCACTGGCGCCCCAGTCTTTCCTCTTAAATGATTATGGCTTAAAGTTTTGACATTTAAGAGTAGAATTAAAGATATTTTATGAAAATGCAGAGAGAAAAAGTAAAACCTTCTCACAAACTGAATCCTAAACCAAAGTACAAACACCTGAATCCTTACTTCAGTCCAGTGACAAAGTATTTGTATGTAGTTACTTACTGTTATTTTTTTTGTTTCTGTGTTGAAGCTTGTCTGAGCGTGCAGTGGAGTTTAGGGAGTTTATTTTGTAGCTTCAGTGTTGGTCATGCTGTGTATATTTTTTAGGGACGGGTTAAATTTGAGGGATACATTTTTGGGGAGTGGCTGAATTTTCTTAAAGAGCCTAAATGAATACAATTAATACACATATATCTATATAGATATATAGATATATGGATTTTTATTTCTGCTGGTTTGAAGATGGCTTTGAAAAACTTAAGAACCTTATTCTTAAACGTTTAAATACATGCTTTAAAAATAACCAATATATTATCAAATAAGGCTAAAAGGGGGACTTGAAGTTATTTTTTTGATAATATCGATAAAAATGTGGCTACAAATCAGTCACAGTAAATAGTCCTCCCTTCATTCATTCGATGAAGAGTTGCAAACAGCCGCTAGGAGGCGCTGATAAGCATGAATTTCCAACAAGCTATGCAACACGTCTCTCTTCAAAACAACACTCATCTCACTCCATAATTATCTAGGATATATGTTATTTCATGGTCGTTTGTTCTCCACGGTTATTATTCGTTTGAAAATGATTGTATCCAAAAAAAATAATGAAGTATAAATAATTTGTTAGCGGGGAAGTTTTGTTGTCACTCATATAGATTACCTCCACTAAATGCCCACACACGGTGATAAACAGACGTGTAGCAAACAATAGGCCTAGATTGTGTTCTTGCAAAAGAAGTATCGGTGAGTACGACACTTGGCTCCATCAGTGTGTTTGTGTTTAATTCTCTGTAGCAACCAGCAAAACACACTCAGGAATTCAACCTGCTTTCAGCCGCTCAGGGTCACGATGGAGAAATACGCCTCAAGATTTAAGGAAGTTCTCCTGACACCTGAGCCCTACTACATCCCGGGGTAAGTGATAACCTCTTCTTACTTTTTTATGTTTTATATCAAAGTTTAAACAACAGGAATGAGACTGCATTAAATAAAAAATAAAAAAATACGACTGGACAGTGTTTGGCTTCTCACTCATTTTTGAATCATTACACTAATAAGGATACACGACGTGACAATTATATGTCATTTTTGCCTTATTTTTGCTTGTGTCATTGTAGCTTTGTACTCAATGAGAGGATGTCGTTCATTTTTATTTGTCCACAAAGATAATAATGGAACTGTAAACTTGTGAACTCAGCTGGATAACATGTTTATGATAGTTGAGTTTGTCCACACAGAGTACGTCAACAACGTAGCCTGTTTATTTAGATTTAGCAAAAAAAGTAGGATTTCTCCATTCAACAGATGTTCGCAGGACTTTTGTAACATTATTATTATTATTTTTTTTTAAAGTTATCAGTATATTTACTTGACTTTAGTATGCTTTAAGTCCTAGCCATAAGAGTGTGGCAATGCTAACAGGAAACATTTCACCTCTTAATTAGATATTAGAAATACATTTAGGGCCTCCTATAAAAAACACACCCCACCTCCTCAAAAGCAGCTTCTACTGCCTAATCTTTTAAAGAATTAAAGATTGGACTCTTTGTTGTTTTCAGGTTTGCTGGCTACTGCCCACAGCTCAAGTACACTGTGGGGAAGTCTTATGGTAAGCTCACATCCCAGCTGCTCAGCAGTCCTGAGGTGAAACACTCAACTCGTCTGGACCTTCACCAGGAACTCGTCCCCTCTGCAGAGACCGACTCTGATGGGACAATGAAGATGCTACCAGGATACACAGGTTACGGTATCATGCACTCACACTAGTCGGGGTCAACAATGTTAAACTTCATGGAAAATCTTTTTTTAGCCTATTCTGCTTACAAACAATAATTCTGGTAATATGGAAATCAAGCTTTAAATACGAACTGAAGAGAAAACAGTGAGACGAGGGAAACATGAGAATAATCTGTCTCCACTTGTAAATTATTAAGTATTGCCGACCAGTAAAGTAGATCAGTGTTGAAAATGCATTAACCTACACCAGTAAGCCATATTATAGAAGCATTGTCTTGGTTTTTAAAATGTTGTTTTATGTTGAAGTGTTGATTTTCTCATATTTATTTCACCCTTTGTTAATATTTGGCTAAAGAAATTCACCCGCCGATAATGTGTAGAAAAAGAACACTTTTCACACATTCTTCAATTATAACATTTTAAACAATGAGCTAAAGATCACAGATAACTTTATCTTAAAAACAATCTCCAGGTAATGTATGTGAAATGTTAATGTCCCTTTAAAACTTTTTCAACCATCTTTGGTGATTAGGATTAACACGGACGCCGTTTCTGACGAAATCATTTTTTCCAATATTGTGTGCACGTTCCTTAAAGTTGCTTGTTGCTGTTTTAGGCTTTATCCCAAACAGGCAGAACTACTTTGCCTGCCGTTACTCTGAAACATGTCGCAGAGCGCTGACTGAGTTTGACCAGGAGAGACGTGCGAGGATCCAACGGCAATCATCAGACCTGCCAGCGGTCGCCAACTGTAGCAACTGTCAGTTTAAAGTACGTTTTCCCTCACTCAGACGTGTTGACACCTCTGAATAGGGTCACTGTTGTTTAATTATCCATGGTGGAGCTCCAGTGTCAGTTCACTGTAATATAATCTATCTTAAATGAAAGACTGAGATGGAGAAGTGATCATCTTGTCATAGGACCAGCCACAGATTCACTCACTATGTCTGTGAGATTTATTGAATATTAATTATAAGTAGTAAAAAAAAGTAATTGTGTCACTTTAAATAGTTAGGATTGAAATTCGACCTGTGTTATATATCATATATAAGCTATTATATAATGTAGAGTTCAAGTTACCATTTTCAACTTTTAGTGAATGCTAATAAAAAGGCTCATCATGTGACCATTCCTTATCACAGATTATATGATCTGTGAGTCGTCCTCCATGCTTTAATGTTTCTCTTCTCATTTTTGTCACAGAGACCGAGTCCCCCCTTTACAGCAATCTCCGACAAGGTCTTCTCCTACAAACCCTTGAAGCCCGTAATACCCCTCGGAAGACCGTATGCAATGGGTGACGATGACCCAAACAAGTACTTCATCTCAGGTACAAAGCTTTTTACAAATGCTCTTAGATGTTCACCAGCTGGTTGCTTCTGTCAGAGCTGAACCGGTTTTGAGAGATGTTGCTGACAACTGCATATTATTGATTCACAGCGAAGTTAAAGCTGCGTTAATCAACTTTTTACAACTATAATACATCGTAAACACGTTCATCAAACAGAGAGCAACACTTTTGTCTTATTGGAGTCACATTTCCAGAGCATGTTAGATCAAATTGCTGGAAATGCAACCAACAGAGTTAGAAGGGGAAAAAATTACTGAACAATAGGCTAGAGTAACCTTAGGAAGTTGCAGTGTAGTGTAATATACGTATTCACAATACTGGTAATATTTACATACTCTGTGTATATTTAAAACTCAGCTCATTGCATGATGTATTTTCAAAGGTTTCACAGGACACGTACCAAAATCTCGCTTCCTAGTCGGCAAAGGCTACCCAGTCACTACCAACCAGGCACTGATCCAGTTTGGGGCGCAGCGGCGGAGTGACGCCACATCCCAAAACTTCACAGAGAGAAAGGAAACCTCAGTAGCCGCCAAGTCCACAATCTATCCGTCAAACAGCGGCGTGGTGCCAGCGTTCACAGGACACATTCCAGGTGCGTTTCACTGTGAACTATTTTTTTAACAGGCTTCTGAAAAAGTGAACATCAAGGTAAAGCATGTCTAACTGTATGCTGTCCCGCAGGATATAAGTTCATGTACGGACAAACCTTTGGTCAACTTTCCCAGAATGCAATGGAAAAGAGCGGGATCAAGAGAATTCCTCGGGACAAGTTATAAAACCATCAATTAAATGTTAAATACTGGCAAGATCAAGTTCTGACTTGAGTCTGAGAATGTTTCAGGATGTTTTACATTTTCATGAAACCAAATATTCTGTACATACTTACACATTGCTTTTGCTATCTCTCTCTGTTGGTAACAAGAAGAAGACAGGTGAATATGTTCAGTCTTTATTTAAAGACTCTGATTGTCACCGGGCATTAGAGGAAGGGTCCAGAGGTTGAGAAAATGACGCTGGGTGGAATCATTTCACAGGCTTCACATTATTGCAGAACATTGAAATTCTCTTTTTAACAAATGCAGAGAACATTTTTTTTTTTTTTGGCTCTTTTCCCTTCTCGTTTATACACCAGGCAGTCTATCAAAATATATCTTACACACATTGAAATACCTGAAACAGCCACCAGAGGGCTTCTTTTTGTGCACAGCAAAGACTCCACTGGAAGACATCCTGCTGAGTTTAACAAATACACTTAACACACAATTTAACATTTGTTTCAGAGCAAGAGAAATCCCAAACCTAACTACAGCTTTACAAACATTCACAGAAAGTCACAAGACCTGGGAAGCACTACAGTATGTGTGTTAACTCATGCATCCACATGCTGCAAATCTGCTCAAGAAGTCTGACATCACTGACAGTACACAAGGCTGGTGTGCAGAATGTTTGGCACTAGTAAACGTGTATTGCCTTTTTTTGATTCAGTCCCAACATGAAAGATATAGCTACGCAGGTACAGTATTAATATGAGATATGAAAAGTTTTTGCACCACAAGTATGTCCAACAGTCAACAGCAGGTCACATTTTATGATTGATATTCACCTCCAGGAAATACAAAGGAGAGAAACAGGGTAACAAAAGCACCTTTCTTTCGGTTATTCTAAAGTGCAATTACAAATAAGGGAAATGGGCTCTAATTCATCAAGTTCATTTCTGGAAAAGTGGAATTGATAACTCTTCAGAGCGCAGTCATAAAGCTTGATCTCACAACTAAATTGAGAGCAAATAAAAAATGTAGAACGAGAAAACGGCCACCAGATGATATTTTAAGATCAGGAGTCAGACAAACCCGGAGTACCGGTAGGTGTCAGCAGCTGTTCTAATGTACAAACTTAGCCCAGTTATAACATAGACATGTTAAAGTAACTTGTCTGACAGGAGCTTCTGTCAGATTAGAAGTCTGAACTTTTCGAATTTTACCAAAATACACAAGAACCTTAAAAAACATTTCCTCTTGTTTGCAAATAAATAAAACAAATTGATAAAAACAATTTCATAGGACTGTAAATGTAATAATTTGATTGAACCATAAAATTACATTAGCAGTGATGCTACAGAGACTGTAGAGTCATTCATTCCCTCAAAGTTAATGGTGCAAACGAATGGCTGATTGCTACTGAGATTATCAAAAGGTCATACATTGGCACCAAGGACTCTTAGCTAATAGAGCATGTACAGCAGCCAGGGTTCAAATCCCTTTCAAAATAAAGGCAAAGAAGTCCATCAAAATGATTGTGAAATGAAAGAATGCATGAAAAGACAAAAAAAAAAAAAAAAGATTATTGATGAATTTCCAAAACAGCGTGTGCAGTGCCCAGCTTGATGAATATGGGCCATTGACACAGCTGTTGATCCAGTATATTATGTGCTTTCTGGTCAGTTCAGCAGTGTGAATGAATACTGTGTATGTATTTTCATGCATTTAGGACTTTTTGTTAGTACAGTAAAAAAGGCAGGCTCACAGCTGGTTTTATTTTGTTTAGCTGTCAAGCTATTTGTCAGACTGAGCTCCTCCTAACTTCAATGACCTGATGGACTGAGCCAAGAGTCCAAGCTGCGACCTGTCCAAGCGCAGCCACTGTGATGGCCGCTTGCACCTGAGAAATAAATCAAAGAGACATTAGTTTTGGATGGAGAGTCATATTGTCTTTTGTAAATCAAGAGTGTAATATCACAAATACAAAAATATTATTTAAAAAAAACCTTATCTTTTTTTTTTTTTACCTTCTGGTTTGAGCTCCAACCTGACTCTGAAAAACGGTTTCTGCTCGAGTTGAAGTATCAGCAGCTCCAAACAGGTTGGCCCAGCGCAGCCCACCCTGACATGGACTCTCAGCATGGACAGCAGCTGATGCATTTGGTGTCTCATTGTCTTTCTCTCCCCTCCTCTCTTCTTGCCTGCTGTCCATACTTATTTGAGACCAATTGTCTGCATTATTCTGGCTACAGTCCTCTCCTTCTGCTACACCCTCCATTAGATCCGCCTCTTTTGGCCACCACTCTGGGATGGGAGCTAACAATGGACTCCTGCTAGCCTGAACCGCTCCTCCATCCTGCTTATAGAAACTCAGACTCTGAGAAGTGAGATACTGCTGTTGTTGATGCAGATCGGACTTATGTGAAATGTTAGTTTGCTGAACACTGCGGTTGATCTCCACCTGTCTGTCAGCTTGCAGTAGTGGCCAGCTGGTCACCAAGAGAGCTGAGCATGGCTGAGGTGGAGAAACACCCGGCTCATCCGGACATAGCTGTCTGTTACGTAGCAGTCGGGGCTCCAGAAGCAAGTTGAGGTCAAAAGGCAGTACAGAGAGCGGCTGCAGCAAAAGAAGCAGCTCCTCAAACAAGGGCCGACACCGATGAAGAGACATGGACAGGAAGCCCCAGGAATGGTAATATGTTGTCACTACATCTGTTGAGACATGAAAAAATGTGTTGTTTAGTTTTCAAGTATTGTTTTGAAAATGCGCTAGTGGGAGCACTCCCTTTGTGATTACGGGATAGTCAGCATTTATTGTTGCATTTACCTTCTGGGTTTGTGTGTTTTTGCAATGTTTATGTAAATGCAATGTGTCTGCTAATAATGCATTTGTTTCGGCTTCTTGTAGTAAATTGTTCTCGCGTTAGAGTTGATTATTAACTGCATTTTCTCCTGATGGAAAACTTTTGGGCTGTTGCTGCGATTTTACCATCGTCGACCACCCTATGGATAATATAATATGTCAACATGCAAATGTTCATGATGATGATACTGGCCAAATCAAGTTTATGAGGAAGGAACTGAAGAAATTAGGAGATCACCAGAGTTCTCTCAGTTTCTTCAGTAGGAAATATGAATAGTGGTACCACATTTCACATCCATTCAATAGTTGTTGAGATATTTATATATGGACCTAAGACCAACTTACTGACTGATATTGATTTTAAACATTAAAACAGCCTTTCAGTGTGTAAACAGAGCAAACTGTTGACTCACCTTTTTGACCCTGAAGGTGGCTGAGCCAGAATTCCAACGCTCTTAAACTAAAAAATAACAAATAACCAACAAAAGATCATGTTAAATGTACAGTCATTTCATTTTGTATTTTAAGGAATCATAAATGTATCAAAGGTCGTGTCTGTCCTTACTTCAGTAGGCCCATAATGAAAGCTCTCAACCTCATGCAGGGGCTGCTAAGCTGTGGACATTGCCTGATTTTGGAAACCAGGCTGTGAAGGACCCTGGTGGATGGACCTTTGGAGAAAAAAAAAGTACATTTAAGTACTAGACACAAACAATTAAACCAAAACAAAGCTGCTCTACAGCCAAAATTATCAAGTAGAAGCACCAAGACAAATCTCCACAAAGAGACTATTAAGTCCATCATATCACATTGTATCCTTCTGTTGTAATACTAGTAATACTTTCTTTGACTTTAGATCACTATATACATGTACCGAGCCTAGTTGAGACTTCCACTACACCCCAGGAGTGGTTGCGTCGTTGCCCGATGATGACATCCAGTTTGTGATCCCTGAGACCGTCCTCTAAAATATTCTGGATTGTTGGACACAAATGTTCCAGGACCAGCCCGGCGATTGTGGGACTGCGAGAGCTGTTACCCAGACGCATCTGTGGCAAGACAATTAAGACACGGTTTATTTCCTGCTGAAAGAAGTTATTTGATTCTGGTCTCACAATGTTAGTCATTCTTTTGGCAGTTTTCCATTGTGACACATCTTTTCAAGCTGCTCGGCTCTGCTGGTTCATACCTTTTCTTCAGGGTCTCTGCTGCTGCCAAAATGAGCCATGATCAAATCCACAGCTCTGCTCACAGCTCTCAGCAAACCTACAGACATTAAATAAAGAAATGTGTTAACACACTGTATAAATGTAACATTGCAAGTCTCCATCTTATGTAATATATGTGTATTATTGACTGTTGTGGCAGACTGATTCTTATTAACCTGTTTCCTACCTGCTTGTTGAAGACAATATCACTTTTCTAGAAGAATCTTTTAACATGATGATTTGCCCAGAACTGGGTTGAAATGATAATATTGCACTGGTAGATTTGTTTCCATTAGAAAGACTTGATCATTTCTTTCTCTTTTTAAAGATTTTCACTGCACCAACTAGGTCAATGCACAGAGGTAAGAGAGACAGCTTTAAAGGTTCATTGTCACAGCACAGGAATGCAAATATGTACATGAAATTAAGAGTCCATTTCCGTTTTAGAAGCCACCCTCATTAGCTTGCTTTGCCCTTGCCTTTCTTTCTTCATCTCATACTGGCTCGCCTCTGCAAATGTCACAGTAAATTCTTAATGCATGTTGATGCCGCCTGCAGGACTGCACCACACTGACTTTTCACCTCTGCTGCCAATGTCTCCATATTTAACCATGCAAGAGGTTCATATTAATAGAACGAAATAAAAGCCCATATGGTGGCTCTGAAACAAAATGGTTAGCTGGGTTGTAAATCAGTAGCACTCTTTCTACTGCATCATTCTCCTTCATGTTCCTCTGTTGGAGAAGCTTGCAGTCGCACACACATAGGCTACAGAGCAGAAGGCTCAGCCAATCCTGTGCAGGGAGAGATAAAAATAGGTCATGTTTGAGAGAAAGCCCCTTCAGGGTATTGAAGACACTGCTGCAGCACAGTGAGTTTATAATGCTGCTCTACACGGCTCATCACTGGTTAGACAAACCAATCCAGGCAAATTCCAGTCATTACTGTTACTGGGACACTTCTGACTCCATTTGGATTCAAATGTGGAGCATATACTGTATTTAACAGCTTGTTTTATACAACCCAATGAAGTGCATCAGTCATTAATGACCCTTATTCACATAGTGGCCTTTACCTCAGGGTCAGATGCTCAAATGCTGTGATAAAGACTTAAATACAATTGCCATTTTTAATGAATCAGCTGAAGACAGCGAGTCACAACAGCTAATGTTAGCATTAGCTAAAACAACTGTTAAATCATTAAAATAATGGTATGCTAGCATTGCTGGTAGCTAGCCTTAAGTACTGTTTGCCTGGTATTTATAATTTTTCTTATGTATTGTGTAACACCATCAAATTGCAATGTTGGCTAGAGCCCAGAAGAAGTATCTAGTTGTATATATCTGACATCCCTTACTGTGATGTCAGAGGAAAATGGCTGCCATGGGAGACTTGTGTATTTTCCTCACCTCTCCTCTGCAGATGGCTGATAGACATGGACTCGTAAGACGCATCGGGCGAAAGGCAGAACTCAGCAGGCGGCTTGTCACTCAGAATGAGGGATTCACCGTGTTGACTCTGACTCGGCTTCCCACTGAGCTTGGCAGAATCTGGATTTTGTTGTAGATGCAACCCTGACGCAGCCAAGGAGAGCAGAGTACTCAAAGAGGAGAGAGGAGCGACTGAGGAGAGGGCAGCCGTAAAACTACTGTGAAAAAAGCCAGAATCCGCAAGAGGTGCTGCCTTCTTTTCTGGTTGCGTGGTTGTGGGAGGAGACAGGAACACCTGGAGGTTCGTGTGAGGATTGTCAGTTGTTAGGGTTAAAGTGGGTGGTGTATCAGAGAACACTGAATTGTATGAAGTCTGGGACTGACTGGGACTTTTGGCCTCAGTGTTGACATGGTTCTGTTTTGGAATAAGTTTAATAAGATCTTGGTAGGTGGGGACTTTAGCAAGAATGGTTTGGGTTGGGGTCACATTTGGAAAAGTATTAGCCTGAGTTTTGCCAGAGTTTGGGCTTGTTTTTTCTTGCACTTGAACCAGGTCAGACTTTGTGCTCGTGCAAGTTGTCTCCAGGCTGCTTTTGGATGTACATGGACTTTGGCATCCTTGGCTTCTGCTGGACTGGCTCCATGTGTGTCTGCGGATGAAGCACTCTGGACTTGGCGTGCAGGTGGAGCAGGTATCTGAGCTGGAAGGAGCCTCCAGGAAGACAGGGCAGGCGCTGCCCATTGGTGACAGCTGAAGGTTTGTGAAGCATTGACTCCTTTTGCCCCTGAACTTAAACCCCGAACTTGATTGGTTGCTACTGGTCTTGCTGGATTTCTGGTTTATGTACTGGTCCAGAAGGCAGCCCAAGTGCTGGGTCTGGGGTTTGTCTGCTGGGACCAGAACAAAAGGCTGGATGGGCAGGGAGGTCGGTCTTTGGGCTTTACTGTATCGAACAACTGCATTTTCAATTGAACATGCTCCTGAGAGAATATTGAGGGACAAAAGAAATTGTTAAAATCACTTAGCTTTAAACAAAGATAAAAAAATATATAAGTGTATCTATTATTCTATAGCAAAGAAGGGAAACATCATGATAGTTACATTACCCTTTATAGCAGCATCAGTATCACAGTGCTCCTGGTCCAGAACCACAGATGGTAGTGTGGATGCAGAGCTGGTACATTGGCATGTACAGCTGTGTGGGCTACACTTGCTGGGGCACATTGAAGAGGTTGCGTAGGAGACATTTTGGATGCCGTCTGTGTGTCTCTTCGTGCAGAGTGCTTGTTTAGTGGATGTGCTGGCTTCTTGGTAATCATAGGCCGGGAACTGCGAGGAGCTGCTCTCTGCAGAGGAGAGCATCTTTTCATTTTGTTTGCCCTCTCTTTCCTGTTGGTGATAAAAAAATAGTCAATCAATGTTTAGCCAAACTATAATCTCACATAATACCAAGAGAAGATTCCATTTTTTTGGGAAACTTTACCTTTTTGTTTTCTTTGTGTTGCCCTTCTTTCTTATGATCGACACAGTATGTCTCAGAGGGAGGGGCAGGGCTGCTTCTGCTCTGAGAGCTCTGACCCTCAGGGCAGCTGATGAGGCTGGTCCAGGCCGGGCTGGGCGACTGGGATGAAAGGTCACAACTCACAAGCTTGTAGTACTTCTGGTTGGTCCCCATTGCCAGTGTGGCCTGGCTTTGGAGACAGGCGGTCAGGTCTGATATCTCCAATGAGGAGAGACCAGGGGGAAGGGGCTCCAAGGAGTACAAATTGCAGTTAGAGTCGAGTACCTGAGGAGACCAGGCACTCGGTTCTAACTTGTCCTTTCCTTTTGGAGGAGAGTTAACTAATGTGTCATGTGGTTGGAGGTCCTCAGCTGGAGTCTTAGTAACCGGTTGCAGGTTGAGGAACACAGATCCCTCAGCTGACTGGGAGGGGGGTAGAGCTGGACTGCTGAGGTCATGGGGCGTGGCAGGGTTGTTGCTTCGGTTGTACATGGTACAGAAGTTCACTAGGACACCATCGGAGCTGTTACAGGAACAGTCACTTACGCACTCTGTCTGACCGTTTGTGAACAGCTCTTGGGGAGATTTGGGCTGGCTGTGGATGCAACAAGAAACATGATCCTTCGATGTGTCTGAATCTTTCTCTCCAAAAGCCCTGTTGCCAGGTCTGCCAACATGAAAGCACTCCAAAACGGTCCCTTCATTTCCCCAGTCATTCTCCATGTCTCCATGTGACATATTATAATTCCTGCCGCCAATACTCTGAGGCCAGTTTGAGTTTCCATGCAGCACAAAAGACGAGTCCTCATGATATTTGTGAAGATTCCCTCCATCGCTATCTTCATCTTCCTCTTCCTCGTCTAGCTCTGAGTTTGGTAGGAATGAGTTGTGTAGCCTCAGACTGCCTTTTGCTCCAGACTTTTCCAGTTTCAGGAGGGAACTCATTTCCTCCGGTGACGAGGTTGAGTCATACTTCCCGCTGCTGTCGCTGCCCCCCTCCTCCTCCACTCGCTCCTCATTGAGGCTACTGTAGCTGCTGGAAAAATGTTTCCGGCCACCGGTGAAGGTGTGTTCTCTGTTCAGAGAGTCTCGTTCGGGGAGGGATATGGCTCGGGTCAGGCCCGCTGAGCACAGCCGGCCGGGCCTCTTGGAAGAGCTGCAAAGAGCCTGGACAGGGAGTTGCCAAGTGGGAAGCTGGACCACAGGGAAGTGGCAGGCAATCAGGGTGTCCCCTGACAGACTGGATGTTCCAATCATGCTGCTGGATGAGGATGGACCATGGACAGGGTCTCCATGTTTTTTTAAATTAAATTCTAAAAGACAAAAATTGGAAGAATTAGAATACTTTCACAACTATCAATATCATTCTTGGCATTGGTCTGCTAAACTGCTTTAACCTCCTCCCCCAACACACACACCCCAACACTCCCATAATCAACAGGTTTCAGGTAAATCATTGTGTGATTATAAACAAAAACAGATCAGTGCTAGCAGAGATTGGAATGATTTTCAAAGCAAGCAAAATATAGCGATCACTATCAGAGTTTTTCCTACAAAAATGTGTCGTTTTCATTCTTGCTGTATGGGGGGGGGCACTGTACAGACAGATAATCAATTCTAGACAACAAAACTAACTGTATAATATTGAATTAACTACTGAATAATGCACTCAAGAGAATTTAAGATTGCAATAAATAAGTCACAAGTATTGCGGCTGAGAAAGCACACTTCCTGGGGCTCATTCGACAATATGCTCATGTAAAAATAGAGTCAAACATAGTAGACTGAAGGATTCTGAAGGGTAAGTCTAAGGACAGTGAGACATCATTTTTTACTTAAATCAAAAGTACAATTATGGGCCATTTAAGTTTTCAGTTAGAGGAAAATATTCACTACTTGGCACACAAGGACCATGGAGTGTTGTTTTAATGCTGCCTGTAAATGTACTCTGGAAAATACTTGTTGTTTTTGTTTGCATAATGTGTTTATGTTGATCTGTTGATCATTAAATCCTCTCAGCTGTGAATACAACAATCTTTAATCCTCAGGGACCTAATTACAGATTTTAGTGGAATAATCTTTAATTCTGGATTAAAGCATCCCCACAGAATAAAGAGAGATTAAAAACATGAAGAACATCTGAGAGCAGAGTAGGTTCCTTTGCCTCACACTGCTGGTCCTTTAGTCAGAGTCCTGCTCTAGTGTCTGCTTATGGCCCTCAGCACAGCCTCCTCTCCTAAATTCAACCATGAAAAACCCCACTCCTCTCCCTCTTTCTTTCTGTCTCTCTCTCTCTCTCTCTCTCTCGCTCTTACTCCGCTTAGTCCAACCACAGGCACTGAGCCGCTCTGTATCTAGGGCAGCTGCCCTGCAGAGATGCTCCGCCGGCGCTGCTAGGAGTAAATACATTTTCACATCAGTTCAATTAATTTTAAAGTGCTCTGCCGTATTCACAGGCATTTCTCCTGATTTTAACAAACATGATGCTTGAAACAGAAAATAGATAATAATAATGATCATCATCCTTTCAAGAGATACAACTAGATATATTGTAAAGTAAAATCAAAGTGATAAAAAACTAAAGAGACGCAAAATAAAACCAAAATTAATAAAGATGAATATGTTACTAAAGATGTACCGGTAATTATATATGTTGCCAAAATCATCCACCACTTTCAGATGTCTACCTTCAGCAGTCTTTCATACTCTGAGGGTTCAGTCCTGAATTGAAGTCTTGTTTAGAAAATCTATACGTTTGATAGAACATTCCCCATCTTAAAGGAATGTTTTAGGCTTTATGTTGTCATGTACATCGGCCATAAAATTCACTGAGGTCAGATTACTCTCTTCACATTGGGAAAAACAACCTAAACAGCATCTGTTGTGGATGACCATAAAGACTTAATCCTCTTTATCATCAAATCTCTTCAATAAACAACTTCCTTTTCAAGGCAGAAAATGGTAAACAAATCAGAGTATGCTGCTGGTACCCCTTACATTTTTCATTTTTCATTTTAGCAGCTCGGGCCTTTTCAGCATTTCGCTGTGTTGGTAAATAGTGGTTTGGATCAATGAATGCAAATTCAGTCTAGTTTTCAGTTCTACTTGTGTTTTTGAAAAACCTGTTTGCATAAATTGCACACTGTTAATTTCTTACTTAGTATCACAATATATGATGTAATTAAACTGCTATATTTAAAATTTAAAGTAATCCCACATTAAGCTTTTTTAAAAGAAGTAAAAAAAAGACTACAGTTCAGCACCTACTTGCAAACAAGCTCTAGATGGGAATCTATATCTTTTGTTGTATGTATGGCTAATGCTCAGGAGGGAGAGGCAAAAATGCTTTTAGTCACAGGGTCGGTGTTCTGTCCTTGAGCAATTCACCTGAGTCCACAACTGTTCCCAACATACATAGATGTGTGAGGAATGAGAGCAAGTGCTTTTAGAAGAAACTGATTTTAACCAAGAAATACAGTAGGTTATTACAGTAGAATCAACATTAATATATCATCATGAGACCATATAATAATTGTCTTTAGTATTATGCTCTCACTTTATTATTCAATATGAGAGATAATTTTACACCTGCAGGCGTTGGAATGCATTGATCTGGATGGATTCTGTCTCGGTCTATTGTCAACAGTTCGATACAGGAAAGTAGGCCACGCTGACTGACTAGTCGTCTGCAGAGGACCAGAACATTCTACTGCAAAGCGGCGACAACTCCAGCTCAGTCATTTGCAGCTCCAATTGTCTGCTGAACTTGACTGTGGTCTGCGGCACACTGAGATGGTTGTGATGAACTGAATCATTGCTCTGGAAATGTCTGTCAGGTCAAGTCAGCCAGCTCATTTGAGGATGAATGGGGACTGTGGAGGTTTTGTGAGGGGGGGGGGGGCAAAGAGTCCAGCGAAGTTGATGGCCTGTTTTTGAAGAGGACAGCTTGTTATCAGTGACGTCTCAGTGTAATGAAACAAACATCATTACAGCTCATATCTTCTCTATACAGTCATGCGAGGAGAATTCAAAGTATGAGCTCAAATTCAGATTTCATTTGATGTTCAACCTGCGTGATAGTTATGAGAATTTAGTACAGGACAGACATGGACAACAAGAGGAGGAATGTCCTAGATGAGAGCTGTACTATTAAGACAAAGTAGGCTGTTGGACTACAAAATAAAATGTTCCAAGTGGCTAAAGTGGGACACCATGTTACACGAGACACACATGCCAACAGAACCACCCATGCATGACAGTAGCATTTTTCTGTCTCTCTCTCTTCCACACGTAGGCCTACAAAACAAACTGCCACACACTGCACATACACATACCTGTGAGCCCAGATAAAGTACAAAAAAATCAAAAAAGATGAAAATGGAGACACAACTGGATAACTGACTCAAAGCAAAGTAGCTCAAGCACATCCAAAAGACCATCGACATCATCAGTGAATTAGCTGATAAACCTTTTTCATAAGACACCTACTTGAAAGCAATCGTCAGTCAAAGGTGATATCCATTCGCTTCCTCCAGGTGGCTCTGATGAAAGTACGTGCTTAGGTCCAAAATCTTGCAATCAAACAGAATTTCTCAAATAAATCATGCAGGAGCGTCTTGCTTTGACGCAAAGGATGCATTCATAAGAACATGTTCGGCTGTGATACCTGAATATCTGCGGTGAAATAAATGTCAAATCCCGAGATTTCTTAACTATAGCATACGATAACATGACACCGGTCCGACACTGAGGTCCGGACAGACGCACCAGTCACCCCCCCCTCCTGCTGCCGCTTCAGCACCGCTCACGCTGATGGAGGTGTGACGTCACGCTGACGTTACCCAATGAAAAAGAAGAAGCACCTGCCGCTCAAAGTATCCAAGACACCTGGTAGGAGAGGAGTTCATTACACAGCTTTTGCTCATGATAAAAATGAACACCATGCTTATCACTTATGGCCTTTTTATTATTATAGTACCGACATTAATGATTTCATGTCATGTATTTTTCGATCACAAATGCATTAATACTTGTGTCATTAGGCCTGCAAAAGGAAATAAAATACACATAATGAAAGCGAATTATCATTTTGGTGATTTTATGTTAACGTTAGCCTACATCTTTTGAATCCAAAGTAACTGTTATTTTAATCGCCATGTTTCTGATTTAAAAAAAAAAAAATGCTTGTAGACTGATATTCATTTTGATATTAGAGCCCCGCTTTATGAAGTACATGAAAAAATAAATCAGACTTTTAAACTGAAAGTCTAATGAAAGTCATTAGATTATAAAAAAAATATCACAGTTTGTTTGTCAAATCAAAAATGTGCTGGATATTTCTTCAAGCAATAGTCCAATAAACCTGACTCCTATCGCCCTCTAGTGGTAAAACTGCACAGTAACTTTTTCAAACATTTTTTGTAGTGTTTTTATTTATTGTGTTCTGAAGTCTGTTTAATGTGATTATGAATTGTCGATCTTGTACATGTGTATGTTGCCTTTCTGTGTGCTCCTGCTGCAAAACTGATATCCCCTGATGGGACAGTTGAATTAATCTGGATTTGATCTGAGTCTGATCCTTATTTCTTCATGTCTAACCCTTAGTTAACATCTAACTGGTCAGGGTTAGGCGAGCAAATATATGACAGTTTCACCACCCTTTGCCAATCGTTAAATAAAAAAATATATTTTCTGAGGGTTTTGAAAATCAATATTATTAGATTTATTTATATAATTACAGAATTATTATTATTATTTTTGACCAGCTTATATTTAACTTCTTTTTAGCAATTTCTTTTCATTGCATCAAAAGAGTGGAAGAACTTGTGATAAATGTTTTAATTTGACATAAGGTGGTTAACAAAAAGACAATACAACCTCTGGAAAAATATTAAAAATATTTACACATTTTTACAATATGTACAAATAAATATTATAAAAACAAGCACCAATAAAGTCAGAGCACCTCACACACTTTTTGGAAAATTATATTTTCTTATTAAAAACATGATCACATTGATACATCCTGTATGATGTCCTGCAAGTGATCTGAATGATCGATGTATCACTGGATGGAGCTATTTGACTCCAGAAAAAAACTTCTTGCAGGGTTGACTTTGAGAGGCTCTGGTCCCCAAAAAAAAGTTTGTCTTGTAGACAGTCACCCTGATAGAGTTGTATCTCCTCATCAGGTGGAGTTCAAGAAGGAACAGATATTTTTCCTGTAAAGATAAGAAGAAACTTTATTGCAGCAGCGGACTTTTGCCATGCCATGCAAAATGCACGTGGACTGAATTTTTAACTACACAAATGCAATACAGAGATTACAAACAGTCTGTGCAAAATAAGAAAGGAACATCATTCTTATTTCGCTATACTATCAACTTACAGTTGGAGGAATGTTATTCCATGACAAAATATGAAGTATATATTAATGTCAAATAGGATACTGGTGTTGAAACCACCATTGTCAACAAACCTGCAGTATTTGGTGCCACACTCTAAGTTTTCTTTGCAGATGGCACCCACAGGCTTCATGCTGTTCCATCTCCACAGAAGAGACCGTTTGGTACGCTGAACCAAACCTCTCCAGTCTTCTGATACAGGTTTAGAACAGACCTGTAGGGGGAAAGAATTTGTGATGAGTCTCATGCTGTATGGTAAAAAAAAATCAAAATACATTGACATCAACAGCTGTGGTGTTATTTAATATCGTCAAAGACATTTGACTTACCTGAAATGCACAGATCAGAGACAGAATAACAGCAAATACAAGAAGTTTTTCCTGTAAGGTCCTCATGGTGTTTGCAGATCAAGCTCAAGAGAAAAGTTACTCTGCATAGGGGCTGGTCAGTTGTCCCATGCCACTTATATTAAACACTATAACTAGGTTTGGGAGGAGCTATATCATATCAAAGATATGAAAGATTAATTCCCTAATTTCTACATTAATGATAATGGCTGAGTCTTGGCAGAGAAGCTAATTTCAAGTCAGAGCCACAGACGCAAGTCTCTTAGAAGAGAGGTATCTATCAGTTTTATAATGACAACAGTGAACAAAGGTTATCTGCGGGGATCCAAGGTACACTTTAACCTGCTAATTGAGGACAATTCCACGTCGGAGGCAAAAAGTTTCACATGTGTCATAGCGCAGAAAAGGTATCCACCCACCAGTTTACTCTTCCATAGAGTCTGCTAATTCAGAATAGTACTCTTCTTTCTTTCCCAATTTTCCATTAGTAGCCATTTTACTCTGAATTCTCAATAGGGTGGTAAGCACAAAAGTTAAAAATAAATAACTTAAAAGAGATTAGGAAGTGAAAAAAGGGTTTGAATTGTAACTGATAAATAATTGTCAGTTCACAGCTTTTTTAAATGATCTGTGACTGTGAAAAAATCAAAACACATTTCAGGTTTATAACCAACAAAATCCAAACACACAGCAGCTAACGTTAGCATTCAACCATTACAACTTAACCATTAACTTTACATCAGTCAGTAAAGTCCAAGCTAACATCACATTAGTTATGAATTTAAGCCCTTTTTACTACTACATCTTGTGACGCTTTCAGATATTATCTAGCAACTTCCTAGATGGCGCTAATATTAGCTAGTGCAGTGATTCTCAAACTATGGTACCACCTCAATATAAAAAAAAACACCCGTTCAGCATTAAAACAACAATTTTTGTTGTTGTTGTCGTACTCTTATCTTATCTGTCTTGTATCTATTGGGTTGTTTTTATATCAAATGTGTTTTCCCCTCTAAATTAATTGAGTTTTTGCAACAAACAACTTTAATCGGCTCAATTTATGCTAGCACGCACGCAGATATAAACACCAGGAGTATGGTTTGTGTTTTGAAATGTTCCACTCGATATTCCATTATTTATAGGAGTTCAGTACGGAATCAACAGTAAGCAGCTGTAGGCCTACATTAACAGATATTCTGTTATTTATTGGAGTTCAGAACAGAATCGGCTGCAAGAAGCTGTACATTTCACATATTTAAAACAGAGCCAGGAGAAGCTTCAGTTTTGATACATTTACGGACAAGAGTGTACGGACAGTGAGTCGCTCCCCCTCTCTCGTCAGCCCAACGTCGGGATCTGACGTCAGCCCTGTAAGGATGTCTTTTGGACGTCAATAATCAGGATCTGACGTCAGCCGAACGTTGGGATCTGACGTCAGGAAACATTTCACTTTGAACCCTGTAAGGATGTCACTTGGACATCAATAGTGAACGTTTATAGGCGATAAAAAACAACATCTCTTTAACGTTCAGTATCCACGTATACAGGACTGCCTCATATGGTTCATATTTAACGTTTTTGTGACGTCTTTCTTGGACGTTAAAAAGACGTTTGAAAAAGACGTCATAAAAATGTTCATTCTGAACCATTACAAGGTGTCATTTAGACGTCTGTAATTGTCAGCCCAACGTCCGGATCTGACGTCATGAAAAATTTCATTTTGAACCCTGTAAGGATGTCACTTGGACGTCAATAGTAAACGTTTAAAAGACGATAAAAAACGACGTCTCTTTAACATTCAGTATCGACGTCTACACGACTGCCTTATATGATTCGGCTTGAACATGTTTGTGATGTCTTTCTTGGACGTTAAAAAAAAAAATGTTTCAAAAAGACGTCATAAAAACTTTCATTCTGAACCATAAGAAGGTGTCCTTTAGACCAGTGGTTCTCAAACTATGGTACGTGTACCTACGGTGGTTCACGGGCTCCCTGTGGTGGTACGCTAAGGAATCTCCAAAATATAAACCCTGTTCAGCATAAAACAACTATTTATTTGTTGTTGTTGTCGTACTCGTCTTTTCTGTCTTGTATCTGTTGGGTTGTTTTTATATCAAATGTGTTTTCCCCTCTAAATTAATCTAGTTTTTGAAACAAACTAGCTAGTGTGCTAGCACACACGCAGATATAAACACCAGGAGTACGCTTTGCGTTTTGAAAAGTTCCACTCGATATTTCATAATTTATAGGAGTTCAGTACTGAATCAACAGCACGCAGCTGTAGGCCTACATTAACAGATATTCTGTTATTTATTGGATTTCAGAACAGAATTGGCTGCAAGCAGCTGTACATTTACATTTTTAAAATGGAGCCAGGAGAAGCTTCAGTTTTGATACATTTACAAGAGTGTACGGACAGTGTACCTTATCGCTCCCCCTCTCTGAAACTGATGTGATTCTGCTCTCTTATCTCTCTGCAGGAGTCGAGAGGGATTTTTTTTTTAAAGGGAGTTTTGCTATGGTGAATGCGGAGCCTTATAATACAGAGGCTCTGGTTGTACGGAGCGCTCATACATTTGTCTCCTGCGTAAAATGTGTGTAGAAATAGGCCTACAGTGTATTTTAACACCTGCCATAATGGTGGTACTTGGTACGTGGTAGGCTAATGTTTCATGAGACATAAGTATATTGAAGCTAAAAGGTTGAAAATAAAAAATAAATTTTGCGGTGTCTTTAGAAAAAAGCTGCCTTTACAGTGCATGAGGTCACTGCCAATAGCCCCTTGCTAGCATGACACACCAACATTTCTAACCTGACTTGTGATTCTCAAATTGCATCATGGAAATGTATATGCCAGGTCAGCATGGTAAAAAAACATGATTTTTCCATATTTCACAAGATTAAATTAGATTTTTTAGAAAAACATCAATAGTTAGTCTATAGTGACACTGTTGTAATGCTAAATGCTAAGTTGGACGAGGAGCGAACTCTCTGAAAGGATATCACATTTTTAAAAGGGAACATTTTAGAGTAATTTGATGCAACTTGCAACAGAAATACAAAGTGTAGTAAAATTATTAATTTACGTTCCAAACCAGATTTGCAGTTCAGATGTTGATTCTTACTCTTAGCGCAACCATGATCAGAAAAGATCAAAGCATGGGGCGCTGGTGGAGCAGTGGTTAGTGTGCACGCCCCATGTATGGAGGCTGTAGTCTTCCAAGCGGCCAGGTTCAAATCCAGCCTGTGGCTTCTTTCCTGCATGTCATTCCCCACTCTCTCTCCCTGATTTCCAACTCTATCCACTGTCTTATCTCTACAATAAAGGCATAAAAAGCCCAAAAATAAATCTTTAAAAAAAAGAAAAGATCAAAGCATCAACTCTTCATACTTAAATTTTAAATGAGTCAGACAAACTTCCGACTCTGCCTTGATGACGAAAGACAAATATCAATTGGTCTACAGTACAAAGGAAGTGAAGTAATTAAGCCCTTTATGTGTTGTAGTACCGGTACTCGAAAGCAGTTTTGGTCTCAAAACCAGTCTCCAGACCAATTTTTTAAGGTCTTGTCTTGGAATCGATAGCATTTTTATTCGGTCTTGTCTTGGACTCTGACTGGGCGGACTCTGGATTTTAAATCAAGACCGGTCAAGACCACCAGTGATAGGCTATTTTTCTAAGTCATTACTTTGATTAGAAGAAAACGCCTCTCTCTAAAACAAAAATCAACTTCAATTCATTCATAATTCGATTTTTGTCCACCAGTTACAGCCGTAATCAAGTGAGTGACACGCCTGCTGATTTTTCATTGATATTTATGGTTTTGATCTTGTCTCAGTCTCGCCCTACCGTTGTCTTGACTCTGTCTCAATCCCTAAATGTCTTGGTCTTGTCTCGGTCTCGGAGCACTCTGGTCTCAGGTTATGTCTTGGTCTCGATTATTGTTAACTTGACTACAACACTACTGCAGTTCATGATGGAGGGCATTGAACACCCCTTTAGAGAATAAGAAGCAGATTTATTGGAGTTCAGACAAATGACACAAAAATATGCAAATGTTAGATATGTGAGCTGTTCTAAACATTGATACAGTAATAACATATTGATGTTGACATGTAGGAGAAGTAGTGTAAACAATATTCTCTTTTAAGTATAAAAAAGGACCATAAAAAAAAAAAAGATCACATAAACCGTCAATTGGGTGTGTGAAACAGTGGTTACAGTGCGACTTACAAAACAATACACATTGAAGTAATGTTCTGTTCAGTGCTGGACAGAGATTTTGCCATAAAAGTCGTAGGAATGTGATCAAATGCTTTTGACTAATTTCACCAGCATAATTCCAAGTCTCTATTTGTTAAATCTATCATCTATTTGTCAGTAGTTCCACCAGCACAGCGTTGTTTGTACACTGATTGGAGCAGACTATCAGTAGAAATTCAAAACCTTACACTCAGTAACATTTTGAAATTGAGGGACAGAAAAAACGTTCCATCACACGATCACAAGACAAGAGAAAAATCTTCACTTTATACTGTTTTGGTTGAAGTAATACGACATTGATGTTATTCCACATATATAGTATTTTTAAAGGTAATGTGAGTTACAGGATTACCACTGGAGGATATGAAGGAGTACATGCTATTGTAATAAAACAGATCCAGCTCATTAAATATGCAGAGCTTTAGCCAGTGTTAAATGTTACAACCATGAAGAATCTTATGCAACCTTTTAAACTGAAGGACATTTCCGTCCTTTGAATCAGCTGTAAAAACTTTTCTACCTACAACCTCGACTGAACTCTGATGTTCACTCTCCTTTCAAAAACACACACAGACAGGATGACGTCGTCATTATCACACACATTTCATGGACATAGACACACAGGCAGACGCACGCAGACACACACACACACACACACACACACACACACACACACACACACACACACACACACACACACACACACACACACACACACACACACACACACACACACACACACACACACACACACACACACACACACACACACACACACACACACACACACACACACACACACACACACACACACACACACACACACACACACACACACACACACACACACACACACACACACACACACACACACACACACACACACACACACACACACTCCAGAAAGAAGCAATTCTTGCACAAAAATATGGGCTTCGTTTAAATACCTACACTACTTATCTTATATTCCTGGATGATTGAAAAAGTGACCCTCCAGACAATTTCAATTCAATGTAGAAGGTTGTTAAAATTATTTCTTTAGTTAAATTACTTTTCTTGTATTTATATTAATCCAAAGAACTTGTTCACATGTTTAGATACGAAAAGGGAAGATCAACAGAATTGAAGATGTGATTAAAAAAAACAACAGGACTTCAGCATAATACAAAATGAGTGGAAAAGGAAGCCTTGCCGTGTAACATGAACAACACACACAGAGGACACTGCTCCTTCACTTTGTCTCTTATAACCATTAGAAACACAAACTGTGGTATTATGAAAACTTGCATTTAAATGTTAATGTACAACTTGTGTATTCACGGATTTTTTTTTTTTGTGAAATGTTGAATGATACTGAAAACATGTTCTCGTCCTTTCACTTTCTGATTGGTGCTACGATGACAGAAGGGGCTGACGCTCATCTGTAGTGCTCTGAAAAATGAAACCAAACAAGACAATGATGAATGAATCTTTCAAATGATCATGTGTTAAATGAATACTTTCATTTTGAATGTATTTAGCATGGCATTATAAGCACAGTATAACTTCTGATTGACAAATCATTGATAAACAATGTAGCACTATTCTGTTCCTGGATGCTGAAAAAGCACATTGTTCTTTTGAACATTTCTTTGTTTTCTATATGATCTGACATTGAATATATTTGGGACTTGGGCCTCTGCTTCCTGTCTGCTTTTTCAAAATTTGTTGATTAATAAATTCATTTCTTCAAACACAACAGATTCATCCTGAATGAAGACAGTTGTTAAGTTCACCTACAGTAATGAAAACACACTCATGTCTATCAGAAGTGCTCACCTCAGGGATTTTCTGCCGACACATCAGGAACATGAAGACCACGCCCAGAATGATGCCGACACCAACCAGCATGAACGGGATGTTGTCCACAACATTCTCCTGGGTAACAATTGACTTCAACACTTTAGCCGATGTGTCGTCGATGACAACGCTCTGCGAGAGAGAGAGAGAGAGGTTAAAGGTCATGGCTTGTTTGGAATGAGCTTGATTGAATACACAAAGTTTGAATGGTTTAAAAAAATCTAAGTGGAACAACCACGCTCGGAAGGATCAGCTGCATCTCTGTCTTATCAGGTTCTGTCAGTTAAAGAATCCATATAAAAGTCTGTATGAGCAACTGATAGACCCGCACATTTCAGTTTTCTAAGTTAGTAATTACTTTAAGAATTCCCAAAACTTGAAACTCGCAGAGGAAAATTCAAACCATAAAAATGAGGCGACGCCTGCGAGCTAATTCAGGCAGCAGACTCAGGCAGCACAGATTTCACACATGCATCATTATCCTATCTCTCCCTCTGCTCTTTCATTGCCAGCTTTGCCCTGCACCAGCACTGCACTCTTCCATTGCCGATGGTGTGTGTTTGTGACCTGCATTGCTACAAGTGTAGACGTATGTGGCGACATATCACATATGTGTGTTTCTGTACCTCATTGAGATAAAGCACCGGAAAGACCACTGTCCTCACGTTTCCTGTTTGACTGAAAGAAAGAAAATATCAACAACGGTCAACAAACTATCATGATCACGTTTTACTTTGTAGAAAATGAAGAGACACATTCAGAAAAGAACAACATTTAGAACATTTTCTGGACATGCTGGTTAGTGGGTATATTTAATATATTATTTCTTTATTTATAAATTGAACATTATTTTTCTTTGTATATAAAACTATTCAAAATCTTCAACCACTTTTTATGATGTGTTTTTCTTGTCTTTTAAGGTTGTCTATTTGAAGATAAATCAAACAGTAAAATCCAGACAGCACATGTACTCAAATTAGTTACACTTGAAATGAAAAGATGTTATGTTGATGTCCCACATTGTTGAACGGCAGGTGAGAATACTGTACCTACATTCCCCTATAATAGCGCCTTTTTTAATGCTTCATTAAGAAGAGCCAGATCTTTTTGAAACCTGTTTTCCTCTCTGACCTGAGTAGTCCATTGAAAAAGGTTGTATTGGACAGGTCTGAGCTTTGAACTGTCAGTACATCATATGTTGATCGAAGGTCTAAGGTGGTCATACAGCTGTTACCAGCTGATGTTAGAAGATCTAACTTTTCTAAACAAACCTTACATTTCTATTTAAACGTTTAAATAAATAGCATTTCTAAAGTAACATGTCCTTTGAGTGCAGCCTGTTATGGGTGTATGTGGACACTTCACTCTGTCACATGAAGCTGTTCCAATTAAAAACTGCACATTTTTGTTCAAAGTTAAAATGTCTGAGGATCTATTTTAATACTACTGCGCTGTGGAATCATAGTCGCTTCCTGCTGTTTCAATTTCATTGTATGCTATTTGGTCCAAGTACCAGACTTGACTTTAAACTAGGGCTGGGCGATATATCGAGTTTTTAAGCTATATCCATATATTTTCAATCGAGATAAATGGTAAGACAATATTGCTAGGATCGACATAGTTCATGTTGCATTAAAATAACGTTATATACGTTTTCGGTAGAGCTGCCAGTTCACCTCATTTCTCATGTCACTGTCTCTCCCTCTTCACTCGGCTCCTCTCTCTCTATCTCTGAGCCAAACTCAACAAACTAAATGGTTAACAAAACACACAACTGTGTTTATTTTGTTATGCAGAAAATTAATTAACTTCACAAACAGGTAGTTTATTTTCATGTACATGTTGAACTTGTGCAACTGACTGTTAATAAAAGACATATCGATATATATCGCGTATCGCCATTCAGCGAAAAAATATTGAGATATTAGTTTTGGTCCATATCGCCCAGCCCTACTTTAAACTATATGAAATCTCATTTTGAAGAGGACTGTGTACAACTTAAGAGCATGCATGACAATGACACACTGAAGACTTGTCCTCTCGGCTATCTGACTTGTACCGTAACAACCTTTAGTGGAATCATTTAACATCAGTGTAGTTTGATTTCATGTTCATGTTCTGTCTGGACTCAAGATTACATCGCTGTTTGTTCCTTCAGATGCCAAGTACACACATAACAAGCGCGGCAGGTCTGTCCAAAAGTCCATTATAAGTGATGATGGTGGCACAAGAGTGTTACAGTATCTTACTGGCAGCTCTTCCTGGTCTAAAGTAGTCATGCAGCTATTACAGGCTGATTAAAGGCAACATGGACGACGGAGGGTGTTCATGACAAAAGGTGAAGACACTGATGAAAGCAAAGAGCTGATTACCTGAAGGTGGATAATTTCTCTACATAGACGTTGATCTGAAGCCGTTTTGCTGCTTGCAGGACAATTCCTGTAAGCTTAAAAAAACATGTACCTTCACTAGGAAGAAATGGTTTACTTGACTTGACCTCACTGACTGTGAGCACACATGACACCAGATAAACATGTATACCTCATTGTTGCACATTCACTAAAACACATCGTCTTACCACGACGCATTCTGGTGAATATCTCAATGCAGCTTGCAAACATTATTCTTTTTCATTTTGCTGCACACATTTCAAATGTTCAAATCAAAGCCCTGGAGTTTGCAGTAAAAGTGGTTTCTTGAACCTATAAAGTTAAACAAGGCACTAAAATCCAGCAGTTACAGCAGAAGTTTCTAGACTTTGGTCAGTAACGAGCTCATGCAGTGGCACAGTTGAGATGACAACATGGGATAAAGGGGCAAAACAGGAGCTCGTTTAGTTTACTGGTTTCATGAACTGATTTCAACCTGTGACGACACCACATGACGTGCAGGCATGTTATTTTCTAGAGATATTTGAGCATCTGTTTCTTGCATACCAATCCTTATTTCATGTTGTGGCTCTAAGATAAAGCTGCCACATAATTAATCAGCTCTGAAAACACAACAATATTAAAGGAGTTAAATAAAATGATGAATAAAGATAACAGTGAGAGAGAGGCTATACTTTCTGTTTATGTCTTGCTCTGGACCACAAAGAAAACGTTACACATTTCGTAAGAAGTGATAATTATTGAGATAATCTGATTTGCTACAGTCAGAAAAAAAATCATTTGAGAGGTGGACTATGACAGAATCATTTCACCTAAGACTTTATTATATATATAATGTTTTAGCAATGTCTTTTATGCTTATGTTTCTACACCAAAAGGTTAAAAATGTAAGCAAAATTATCACCACTAACACAAATCACTGCATAGTAGGAAGAAAATCTGCAGGATTTCTCCAGTGACACACTCCATTCCTGGAAGTGTTTTCTTTTTTCTTTCAGTCCACTTTCCCTAATCATTGATTTAGGACATGTTCAGCCATGTTTTTACAGTATAACACACGATAAGAGCTGTTAGAGATTATCTGCGGCGACAGCTCCAGGTACCTCTGATTTAATTTTTAACTTCTGCTTTTAAAAAAAAAAAAAAAAAAAAAAAAAAGCCTCTGCTTCCTGTCTGCTTGAAGGGATAAAGCTGAGACTGTTCGCCATCTAGTGGTGAACATGAGGTACTATTATCTTTCTCAGGGCTATCATGGCAAAATACATGTTATTAAAAACATGATGTTGTAAAGTAAAGTAATGCATACACAAATGTTTACATTGTGCAAAAATTTACATTTGAAGTCAAATGGGCAACATACTTGTGTCCTAAAGTGAAAATTTTGAGATGAAAGATATTCGCAAATTCATAGTTTTTGTATTTTAGATAAATTTGAAATACATTCAGAATTTGTAAAAACTAAGTGAAGTGACTTGTGCATGAATGGAAACATGTTTTAAGGGGAACCTCAGGATTTAGAGTTGAAATTCCTACCGGGTGGACATCAATTGCAGTCTGGTGCAGCTCCTTGATCGGCCTCATGCCAAACACATCTTCAACAAATTTCTCATCTGCCTGGTAGAAGTGTGGTGACGACATGATGATGGGGGCTCCTACAAACACAACAGATCCTTTCAGAATAACATAATGAAACATATTCAGCAGCTCAGTGTCACAGACAAAAAAAAAAACAGAAGTTCTGCAGCTGCAGTCGTAGCGAAAGAGCTTTTTCCCACCTTGTTTACAGACGCTGACATTCAACACACCAGAGCCCATGCAGTTCCCTGTAGGGACACAGAAGCCCGTGTTGGCTGGGTTCAGGGTCATATTGGCAAAGACCTCGCTAGGGGGACTGAAGCGATACCCGGGGATCCCCTGCACTGACACGTCCTCCTCGAACACAGCGTACAGAGACCTTAGCAACAGAGTCAATGCTGGTTAACATTTACAGGCACAAATAAATCCTGTAAGCAGTTTCTTTCTCATTACTTTGCAGTCCTCTCACCTGCAGAGGTCGGAGGAGAACATATAGAGAGTCTCATCCTTGTTGATGACTGGGTGGAAAGATGCTCCGTTGGTTCCATTGATCATATTGCACTCGTCAGTTGTCCACCAACTTAAATTGCTGCACACACAAAATATTAAGATTAGTGTTTTTGATTTTAATTGGTAATGCTTTTATCAGTCAAGTAGTTTTAGACATGAGCAATGCCTAAGACTCAACCATTCAACACTCTGTGCTTGGAGATTAGGGATGAATTCGGATTTGGATCCCTTCTATCCCCTTTCACTATCCTCTTTACCTTTAACCCCGGGGAAAACATCATGAGGTTGAGGAAAGATGTTAGGCGAATTCAGAAAGGACTAAGGGAAAGGCAAAAGTTGCTCTGAGAATGTGACCACCATTTCCACTAGGTTACATAATTATGCGAGGGCGGAGGTTGATGACGTGGGTCTGCCGTGGTGAAACTACAATTTTCCGAAAATGGACTACTAAAAGCACATCTACAAAAACTTTCCCCTGTGCCTTCTTACCGGTGAAATAATCCTAATTAACACAAGGCTGGAATTTACATAAAAGGAATATAGGCTAACAAGCTATGAGTAACAAAGGTGAAACCAAATGGTTGTCACATTGAGAACGGTTGCTCACGCTCACCTTCCTCTCCACTCATAAATAATCCAAAATAAGTATGATTGTATAAAATGAATTCTTACATTTATGCAAGATATACCTAATGATTTAAGCATACACATGTACAACTGCACAAAGCATTCTTAAGTCCATGAAATATGTTGAATAAAACATCATCTGGCTAAAAATGTCTCTTATCCCTTTTTCTTGAAAGACAGTGTGCTCTGTGTCGGATGCGCGAGTCGCTTTAAATGTTGTGGCCGCAAGGAATTGTGTGACGGCATTACCTCATCTCCTTCGGTAAAAGATGGTCCAGTGTATCCTATGCTAAAGGAGGTTACCAAGGAAGCATTGATGCACCTTTCCTTAGCTTTTAGACTAAGGGCTCTTATCATGGCCGGGTCATTTCACTCAGTTAGAAACCTTCCAAAGCAAAAAAAAAGACAATTCCAATGCACCCAAAGACTCAAAATGTTGGGAGGCTAAACCTGCTGCTGCTTTGAAATACATTTCTTGACTTGGCTTTGTTCAGTACATGGAGGATGTAACTTAATCACTGGCTTATATCTTATTGTTCATGTTGGCCTCATCACTGAGTGTTGTCTTACTGTTGACTTCAGTAAGGTACTTTACTTTCAGTAAGAACTATATCTTTATCAAGACAGTAACAGTTCAAGTGAGACATTATGATCAAGCTCTTTAAGACGTTCAGCCTTACAATGAGAACCTGAAGACAGACGCTGCACTGTTGTTCTACTGTATAAGGGACCACCAAAGTACCGTATTTTCCGCACTATAAGGCGCACTTAAAAGCCTTTAATTTTCTCAAAAAACGACAGTGCGCCTTATAATCCGGAACGCTTTATATATGGATCAATTGGTTAATTGGTTGATCCATACTGGTTGTACACGGCGCTCAGCGACACTGACTCGGATAATGACGAGAGGGAGCCGGGCATGTTGGATGCCGTACTCGCCCAACTGTTCAATTCGGACACTGAAGAAGAAGAATTCGAGGGATTCGTGGACGGGGAATGAACTGAAAAAGTCAGCTTTACGTGTTATACGTAACTGAACAATGTTGAGTTATGCACTAACGTTTGAATTAGCGGTATCAGACTGTGTTTCTTTTACGTGTTTACAACTGAACAAGGCTGGGAGATATTGTGAATATGCACATTAACGTTTGAACAACGTTGAGTTATTGTGAATGCACTACGTATAAAACTACGTTTTGAGAGTTAAGAGAAACGTCAAAGAAATAATTTATTATTTGGGGAAATCGTCTTATGTACTTTTGTTTTTGTAGTTTTATACGTTACGTTTTATACGTATTTATATTTATATATTCACAATATCTCCCAGCCTTGTTCAGTTGTAAACACGTTCTATTCTATGCGCCTTATAATCCGGTGTGCCCTATATATGAAAACAGTTCTAAAATAGGCCATTCATTGAAGGTGCGCCTTATAATCCGGTGCGCCTTATAGTGCGGAAAAAATACGGTAATACAAAGTTAAAGTTCCACACAGCAGCTTTAACTATCTTATTAAGGTTACTTATACAAGCAGGAATACTCACACATGAAACAAGAGCATGTGATTTCTTAATGTTATCAAACAAGCCTTGTTTACATTCCTGTCTGGTACTGATAGACTCTTTGTGTAATGCAGCTCTAATCCAGTCCAATTACATGTAATCAGTAACTATCACTGTCTCTCCTCTCCTTTTTTTGGTCTCAAATATTAGCAAGAATGATTACCTTTCACCTTTCCACGTATCCACTCGAGCAAAGTCCTTGTAGTTTTCCTGGCCAGTGAAGAAAACATAGTCACCATCGTTGCTCGCGTTGGCCTGTCAGAAGAAAAAACAAATCCTTTCAACAAACAGCTCTCACATAAGAAAGAGTTTCAAATGTCACATGTGAATTGTATTTATTAGAAACTCCTGATTATAAATAATCATCCCTGTCAGTTCAAAGAAAACAGTTATGTACTCATATGTTTCAATGATACCTTATAGAAAAGTCCAAAAATATCATCTAGATCCGGTTCGAAAGCTTTGAGGGCTTTCAGCAGACTGTCTTCGTATCCCCACAGCAGCTGACCCACTGTGCGGGTGGTGAACAGGCCCGTGTCGGTGGATCTCATGTAGGAGGAGATCAGGTTGGATACAACAGAATCGTCCTTGAATTTGTCCATCACCGACTACAAGGAGACAGAAAAGGTCGGGACATTGTTGAAAACTGAACTGAACTGAAGTTCTGTAAAGAAAGACTCCATAAGAAGACAAATTATTTACTAAAGGAACTTATTAAAAACCATTCAAGACGTCACATTACAGAACTATTAGCATTACAACTGAACACTTTAAATATCTTACAGCTGAAAAATGTTATGTACTGTCATGGTTTATTACCAGTTTAGGAAGTCAATCATTATCAGTGGCAAAAAAAAAAGAAGAAGAAAAGAACATGCATTGTAATAAATGTGCACTGTGGAGTTTTGACAGAGAAATGTGAAAGTTGAAGAAGTGTACAGATTCTGTCTGTACTCGATACACAAACTGTCCTCAAAAGGCACATGTGCTCCCTGTGACACTGTTTGAAGATAAAATGCTACGCGAGACATTATGTTTGGGGGCCCACAACAGTGAAAACGTGACTCTCCTATTAGCTTTTTACCACCAAACTGTGTTTCAGGGACTAGAATTGTTTCATTTCTCCAACTTTCAAAATTTCACTACCAAATCTACATAGTGCACCTTTAATTTATAGGGGCATAAGAAAACATTGTTACACTCATTAGTATGGAAGTATTGCAATATTATGCTATGCAAAACAATTCTCAAAGCCCCTGCTGGGAGTTTTAGTTAATAATTTACTTCGTTCTAAAATTTAAATTTGTTTGGTGATATAATAAAACGTAAACTCTATTGCTCAGATAACGCATAAATGAGTAGCACTCTGATGTTACATGTTAAATGGCCTGTTCATCTCTTTGTAAAATACAGCGGTGATTAATAAACACTACATGTACTACAAATTAAATATTACAAACAATGTTGCTATTTATTTGAATTGTAACCTCCTAACATGATATGTATCGTTTTAAGGGCCTCTTGCCAATGCACAGCCTGATGAACGATAAACATTTGAATGCACTTTATGGTACGTCATGTTATAAATGTATGAATGTTGTAACTCCAGAGAGCGCAGTATTTGTAAGCAACATAAATCACACATTCATCTATTTTTCCCCTACTTTTAAAACGATACTGAATAACATGTACTTGTGTAAGCATCTCTGTTTTTTTTTTTGGTTTCTGCCACATTAAATAATAATCATAACAAAATACTAAACTACAATGTCCAATAACACATGACCAAACAACACCAGTAACTGACGCATTTCTGGGACTCACCACTGCAGGGACGTTGACGGTCCTGATGAGCTCGCTCTCCGGACCTCGGGACATGTTTCGCTCAAATATGTACGTTTTAGTGTTGACAGCCCCAACTTTAGTGCCATTACTGTTGAAGTTGACCTGCTCCATGGGCCGGTACTCTCTGTGTAGGACAATGACATTTCACAGTTACTTTACCTACAGCACATGCAGCTCTGACTTCAGAGACAATGCGATTTAATGATTAGAAAATTCAGAGATCTATTTGGTCTAAATATATAACGATGCCTGTAGAAAATGTTTCCTTTTACCTTATTTTACTTCCTGATTTAAATTCATGTGACTGCTAAAAGCACAAGAATCTGCATCTTTGCAGTTGTTGAGTAAAAGAGTGTGTCAGCTGGAGTTATATATGATCACAGATCATGTGGGAAGATGAAACTCTTCCCCAAAATGTAAAAGACTTTCACCAAAATCTTCAAGGAAGGATGAGTATTGAAATCTGGGGCTTCGACTTCTTATTTCTAAGTTTGACATGTTGTTGTGCAACGCTACTGTGTCAAACGTTGAAGCTAAAACAAACTGCCTCAAACTAGCCAGATACAGGATGACATCATATCTATCCATGGACAAAAGTGTTTCAAAAACAATGAATGTTTAAAGCTTAAGGCAGTGTTTCCCCTAGGTTTACAGCATTGGGCACAAACACTTGAAGGAATCTTGGTGTTCATGTGTTACTTTTAATGACAGATGTCCTTTTCTATCGGAAAGATATCCTTAAATGACTTCTTTCCCTGATTCCCGACTCTATCCACTATCCTATCTCTACAATAAAGGCACAAAAAGCCCAAAAATAAATCTTAAAAAAAAAAAAATGTATTGACCTTCAAGGGGGGCGGGAGTAGTAATATACCTAATATAATGGTAGGGGAAACACTGTTAAGGAATGCCTTCTTTTTTTTTAGCAGCTTCAGTGTATTAATAGAATTTAACCTGTGGAACAACGTAGCTCTAATTCTTTCAACTTCAAGAATCAAGAATATGATCCAAAACGTTAAAATAATCTGTTGCAAGAATGCTTGATAAATAATTGATTTATTCCAAGATCCAAAGACTTACAGTCTGAATTGATTCAAACTATTAGTATAGTATCTGCTTGGTGTGTCAGGGCCTTTACAGTGTATGGAATCATTCACTGTGCTCGTTTTGCTTTCATGTTCGCATTGCTTTGCGTCTCGCAATCCTCTTTGTCTTTCAATTAATCTAATCATGGGCTTTCAGGCACCCTTCCACCTTGAGTGACTACAGGCTTTGATCTATTGTATGAGTTGTAGATTTGCAGGTGAAACAGGTGGGTAGGAGACAAATAGACGTTTATTCTCACCAATAATGGTTGTAGGCCTGTATGTAAGTGGCGTCTGAGTTCTAGTTTACTGAACCATGACATTTTCACTTTTGTTTCTGTTCTGCTCTCACCTGTATGTATATGGTCCAACCTCCACCACAGCAGGCCTATCCCCATCCAACACCTCCATGGGATTGGTCACATTAAAGAAGTAAAACTGCATGTAAATAGGGGCTGGTGGATTCTCCCAGGCCTTGAATGCAGCTGTACCATTCTTCAAAACTATTTCCTGGAGGGGACAAAGAGCAGTGGGTTACCTTGTTCTTTTTTTTTAAGAAAAAAAGGCATGACTTCAGTCGAATAATCTGCTGCTGACTTGGCTTTCCTCCCATCATATGACAAAGCCACTGCTGCATGGTGAAATCACCATGTGGGTTAGCTGTGTTCAAAGGCTATTTACTTTACGTTTTAAATAGGCCAATAAGGTGTAGAAGAAGTATATTACAATCTGGGAGTAGACTGAAGTGTCTATGGAAACTATGCCTGTTATTCAATCTTTTAAACAAAGAACCAACATCATGGTTTTCATGACAAACAGACAACACATCAGATAGCATTGAAATACTCCACTCTAACTGCATAATCCTGTTTTAAAGAGGCAGTTTTACTCGGCGTCACTTACACAAGCTTAATTGAGAAGTATTTTGACTTTAATGACACTCTTGTAAATATAAGGCTTACGTAAAAACATTCAATTTATAAGTGGCGCAATCGAAACAGCGCAGACAGCCTTTGATGTTTCGGTCTAATCAAGCGCAACATTAGCTGTATCCCAAATGTCCATCGTTAGTTAATGTACTGTACAGTGGGCGATTACCTGACGTTTAAATATAAAATGTATCATAAATACAATGCTTACCTTTTCGACCACCGACTGTAGAAAGTGAGGAAACACGTTAGACAAGTTCAAAGAAATACCCAGGATCAAAATTAGTATAGAAAAAACTCCAATGCTGTAAATGCAACATGATTTCAGTGTCATGATGATACTGCAGGCTGATATTAAATGTAAACAAGTGTTGCGTTCACTGACATTAGATACAGTGAATGTTTGTTTTGATGGCCGAAGGAACTCCTCAAAGGAACAAAGACACACATCCGGGACGAAATCATAACCCTTTTACCACTTCCGCTTTCTTTGACATGTCAGCTTCTTCACGAAGCATTCACCCATGACAACAATTAAACTTTGATTTGGTTTAACAAAATTACATTTGAATTGTTTCATAAAATGTTATACTAAGTGTGTTGGTTCCCTCACGTCGTTTTGACTGAGTACGAAATAATGTTTTTCCACTTACGCTGGATGTTGAAGACCAAATGTCGAGCAGGTATCTATCTTGGACATTGTAACTCTTTGGCTCTAATCACATGCTGCTAACGTCATTCATGAAACTGCAGTTTTTTTGTGGACCATTTTGAGTTAGGCTAAATTAAGGCATTGATATAATCATACAACACTGTTTTTTTCTTATGAGCTAGACGTAGATCAACTTTAAAATTATAAATTGTAATTTGCACCCAAATAAAAAAAAGCATAGAAAAAAAAACTTGCTCGTTTAACATGAAAATAGCCTCTTTCTATTGCAAAACCAGTAATGCAGATGTAGTTTAACAAAGCTTATCAGGACGTTTGCTGGAGCGTCACTAGGTGTGTCCACAAAAAGAATAATAGCATCACATACAACTTTTTTTTTTTTTATCTGTGATCATTCAATCCAATTGTATAGCTTTAATGATGTCATTATTATGTTGAAAACCAAACTCAAACTCTGGTTATCAAAATGCAAACAATACCAGAGATACGTGCATATGTGCAAATCTTGCTTCTTGTGTGATTATAAGGATTCATAAACCAAGTAACTAACCAAGTGGACCCAATAGGCCCCACATTTATTTTGTGATTGTCGGTCTGGTGGGTTAATTGATTGATTAACACGTTGACAATGTTGACTGATTCCAAAAAATAATAATGATAATAATACTTTTATTTATATAGCGCTTTCAATCAAAGTGCTGTACAAAAGTTAATACAAAATACAGTTTAAAAAACATTTCCGAAACTAAAAACAATTAAAAACACACTCAGAATATCCACTAAACGATTTCCAGGTAGGTACTTCATTCAGTTAATATCTCACATAGGGGTTCACAATGGTGTTTGAAAAGTGCAGAGAAGATAATTAAGAAAATAAACAACTTTAATTCATAACAAATTCCCCCACAAATTAGATAGTGTGTTCAGTTAAGCTTGAGGTAAAATGTGTGTTTATTACTATGCATTCATGAACTTATTTCAGCAATTGTATTTACAGTACAAGAACAAGTTTGAGTCATATTAGTAATGATTTGACTCTTTTGTAGGGAGACACATAAGTGTATTAAACAACATATACCTACTGCTGATTTGAGTATTCATATTACAGAACAACAATGTAGTAATTAGCTTCTCCACAAGGTGTCTCTGTGTTGGTTGTTTGAAGACTTTATACCTTGCCCACATTCTTTGTTTGCCCATAAATTTGCAATCATAAAACGTGTAGAGTCAATAACTATTTTAAAACGAGCCACACCTTGAAGATGCAGACATTCCTATAAACAAGAGTCTGTATCTCTGTCAAACTTTCTTTTTCTCACCCACTTTTCATCTCTTGAATGTTAATTTAGATATTCTCAGGTTACATAACTCAGGTGATACTGTTACTCATTAATAGAATATTTGATATTTCTGGATACATTGCCAAATACTTTAGTTTTCTGCATGGTTTATGTTAAAGTGATGGAGATTTATTATTCAGATGTTGGCAACAACTCATAAATATAAACATTTGAATTTCCCTCGGGATCAATAAAGTATCTATCTATCTATTTTAAACGACTGGTTTTGTTTTATGACAGAGAAACAGGCAGTGAGGTAGCCTAGCACGATCTCATCTTACGAAATAGTATCAACATTACACCCTGACAATAAAGACACGTTCTTACTTGCATTAACAGGTATTATTGTTGAGGTGTTGCATCATAGGCCCATCATCAACATGACACGACTGGCACAGTTTCTTCTTTTTTTTTTTTTAAAACACACATTGCTTTTTGACACATGAAAATCAGTGTACTCATTATTATGAGTAATTTTTATTTGAAAATATTCATGTACACAAATCAAGTAGCCTATAGGTTACTATGCTTACATTTATATATAACCTCTTTTTATGTAAAAACACCCCCCTCCCCCCACACCACCACCACCACCACTTTTTAGGAAGTATAAGAATAAAAAAGACAATCACGAGTGAGGTTCCACTATAGAGTCTAGTGACTAGACCATGCCCAATCTCGTGCTAATGCATGTAATAATACAATATGGTAAATTACTAATGAATACAGCATTTAAACATATTTGGCATATAAAAAAGCATTTTTTATGGTTTAATTCAAGTATATTGAATTTTGTGGAAGTTATATTGGAGCTGCCGCTATAAAAGTGGGACAGCCAGCCATGTTTTTCTCTTTTTTTGGGGGGGGGGGGTCATGGGAGTTCATAGGGCTGTTGATGAAACTTAAAGAAAAGGGGCAAAATAATAGATGTATTGTCTGTAAAACAGTAAAACATTAAGACAGAAGAGTTCAGTTTAGTAAAACATCATAATCTATCTGTACGCGTTTGGCTTTGTGTGAAATACCCCTTTAACCAGAACATGCATGGGGCACAAAGGATAATACAAGAGGGCTCGCTCGTCGCCGTCACGAGAGCACTTGGAGTGACGTCACTTTCCTAAACCGGGCAGCAGCCGCTGAGTTAAGTTGAGTCGCGAGCGAGAAACAGGCAGGAGTCCGTGAACAGCCAAACTTTTAATGTATACGGGCCGAGTCGGACTGTGTTAAGGAGCTCTACGTCCTCTGCTTATGCATCCTCCTGCTGGGCTCAGCCAAACATCGGCTCGCTGTTTTCTTACCGGTTCGGTAGCTAATCGGTTTTTGGCACAAAAAGCGGCTGTGTGTCAGATTCTTTTATGTGTCCAGCTCTGCTGCGACTCCAACTCATTACAGGGTAAGTGTGTCCACTTTCATACCATGGAGGTAGTTGTTAGTCGATATGCTGGCTAGTCATTTTCTACAAAAGCTTCTTAATAACTAAATGTTTTTTTTTGGTAATTCAAACAGTCTGTGTGCTGTCGCGCGGCGGATTTAAAAAAGCGTCCAATCTGATACTCGTCGCGCGCGTTTGATACTCGTGCTAAACGAATGTAACCAATTTTGTGCACGAATTCATGCTGCATAACCTTTATTGTTTAAGGAGCAATATGCAGGTTTATAGTTGTTTGATGTGGGAACTGTGTATAGTGTTTGGTAGCCTAATGCATTCAGTGGTGAAGTAGGATTCCCGACAGTTAAAATTTAGTTTCTCCCTACATTACCAGTTCTGATTTGTCGTTTTGATCCCGTTTTTCATAAGTGGTCTGGGCATTTTTCAACAGGTGTTTTTATATAGAAGCGTGATGCACATATTGAATATGTTAGTCAAATGAAGTTTAATGGGAAAGGCTTGAATGTTGCCAGAGGAGCTCAGACATGGCTGTCCTTGATGCGCCCACATACAAACCCTCTCTAGTACATTACTATCTGCCCACGCAAATACTCTTGGAAATCTGAATTATTATTTATTCTTGTATATTATTATTATTATTCTTTCTAACTTTTGCTTTGCATTTGAAGATATTTTCCTCCAGGACCATAACCGCTTGTTTCCATTGCAAAGAGGCTCATTTATTAAGTGGTTCTCTCAGTTTAAATACATGCAGACCCAGAGGAACCTGGAAATAATATTATAGAGGGAAGTAAGTAGAAAGAAATTTGACCGGAATGCCATTTTTTTGTTTAGCAAATCATTGACAAGGTCAGTTCAGGCATGACATTTTTGAAATTGCTCAAGGCTGTTAAGGCACAAAAATAGACTACATTAACCAGACATCCCTAGGGTTTTGTGGTGATTTTAAACATCCTTAAAGGAAACAATAGAAAGCCGGATGCCAGAAAAAGGTTTGAGTTGGAAGTACACGCCTGTTCAAAGACACAAAATATGTTTGTTTTCGCTCTCTAGGATAAATTTTACTTCATATTAGACCTGAATAAGCAGCTTTTTTGAGTGTTGTAAGGTAAATACTTATTTACCTAAACTGCTACTCTGCACATTTCCCCCCTCAAAAGTCACTGTTACTTGCCTGCTTTTAGCACCACAAAGTTATTTGCTTTTTAATGAGTTTAGTCTACGGATGGATACCTGAATCAGATTTGAAATAGGAGTAAACACGAGTGATTTCAAACATCTGTGTTTTCATCTCCACAGCCCTGACTGAGTGATTGAGTGAACGACTGCATGGACCGGACTGAACATGAAGAGCCTTAAAGCCAAGTTCAGAAAAACTGATGTAAGTACTGTAACATGTGTTCAGGGCTATGTAAAGTGTGTGTGTACGCCACCATGTGTGCAAATGAGTGTGTTTGCATGGCTGAGTCAGTGTCTGTCTATGTATGGCTATATTGGATGATTTATGGCAGATTTATTTTCTCCTTAGTTGGCAGCTCTCCACGACTTGTTGATATTTGGCTTTTCATGAAGAAATAAATCGATTTGAAAAAAATAATTAATAGATTTGAAAAATTGTGTTGGTCTAGTAAGTTTAGAGTATCCTCCATGCTCTTCTGAACAGAAAAAAAAGAAACAATTTGCAAAGTTTCACATGAAATCTTTTTGGCTGTAACTGATGGCATCATAAGAACTTTAAGAACTAAAAACTCTGATTTATGCTTCGGCCTCATGACACAAACTTCAGACCTGCTGAGTCTCCTATGAAGGAGACTACTCACTGTGATGTGAATTCTTCTGATTCAATGAAAAAGACCACAAATACCTTCAGTTACTCTCTAGATTGCTTCATATGATGATTTAATCCTTCTGACTGTGAATCAGTCTTCAGGGAAGGTTTTCTTCATTTGGTTCAGTCATTTGTTTGGTCTATGATACTTTATACTCACAGGAAGTGAGGCGTCTGCACATTGCCTGACTCATCAGTTGTCACAGTGACCGGAATGAC